AGTTATTGTCCTCTCTGTATCCTCATCTGTAAAATAAAAATGATAATGCCATTTCCTATGGTTGTTATGAGAATTAAATAATATAATCAATGAGATGCTGTTTTATAAAATGTAGAGCATTTTAATAGAAGGCAGACTGCAGAAAGCATTACAGCAGTCAGAGCTAACAAATACAGAGCTAGGAGACAAGGAAGGACAGGCAATTAATTCCCTCTGGTATTGGGGCAGAGAATGGATCAACAAAGATTTAATAGAAAAGGTGGTATATGACTGAAGAATGAGTAGGTTTTAATAAGTAGAGATAGAATACCTACTGTCTATATTTACTGTATAGAGAATGTGTGTATGAGTGTGTACAAGTGTCTATCAGTTGAGTCCTCTCCAGAATGTACCTCTGCAAGAAGGATTTCTGTCTGTTTTGTTCATAGCTGTATTCCCAGTGCCTATAACAATGTCTGGTACTTGACTGGTACTCAATAAATACTTGTTGAATGAATAAGTGAATGAATGAATGGGGGAGATAGGGAATATCAGAAGAAATTTTATGAGTAAAAGCATAGACAAAACAAACTGTCTGATTCCTTTAGAAAGTGGTGCCAATGTGTGGAGCCTGGGCTTGGAGAGACCAGGCTGCAGAAGAGGAGGGAGGGGAGGAAGTAAGGGATCCAGGAAACATGAACACAAATGCTGGTATCTGATGAGCATCCTGGTGGGCTGGTGGATCCGAGATGCCATTTGCATGGCTAATTTGGGGGATTTCTAAGTTTTTAAACTAAAGCCCCTGCCACTGACATCTTTCGGTGAAACTGAAGGGGAAATGTTCCCCATTAAAACGTTGAAATGAAATGCCCAGAGTCAGGCCTAATAGCCAATCATCACAAAGTTCTTCTCTGAACATTGTGAGTCTTTGGCAACATGTGACATACAGTGACAGTGAAGGAAAAATGTATATGTAATTATGATAAAGATAAAAACTATGAAAATCATCAGGAGCATCTGAATTCAAAACACCAATGAATATAAGTCACATTATTTGCATAGAAATGTGGCATCGCTACAGATATTGGTTAAAATTCAGAAGTAGATGAATAATGAATAAAATGCCACTTTTAAATTATAAAATAGAAATGTAATTACTCTTATCTTTTGGAAAAAATCTCACTCTTAGAGGAGCTTAATAAGAGGAGGGGAACAAAAAATAAACTAGGTGCTGAAGACTTTCAGTCGGTACACCACGTTACTATTCTTTTTAATGTTAAAAAATGACTACCTAATCAGTATCTGGGATAATGATCTGTAATCTTACCAGTGCAAGACTGATGATAAATACCAAGTACTGATTTTTTAATAACATGAAAAACAGATATGCAACACATTTTCAGGTAAGAGTCATCCAGTCTTTCTTACTGGGAAATCTTTACTGAACTGATATTATAATATAATTCAAATAATATCTTTCTTAAGGTGTCATTTTAAGGCAAGTAACCTTACAGCAGACTTTTAATCTATTGACTCTCAAAGCTTATTTTTATCTAAGGCTCACATAGTAAAAGTGTTTGAAATAATCAGGTTCTTATCTAATTACATAAAGACTAATTTAGCACCTCATTTATTTGGAGAGTCTCTGGCATAGCAAATCCATTTAAAATGATGCACAAGAGCAGGTAATTAAAAATTAAGGTTGAAATCAAGATGAAAAAGACAAGATTGAAGCTCGTTTCAATAGCTCTGATTAGTTGCAGAGGGTAGTGAAATGGGAGAAAGGCTTAATAGACTTTCAAAGAGCCAAAGAAAGAGGCAGGGTGATGGAACGCAGCTCCCTGAGGCACCGATGCCTTTTTGAGTCTTTCTGCTATATGTCCAGTTCAAAGCTGATCACATGCAACTAGGAGAGGTGACCAGCTTGAGCACATATGAGTGTTGTGGATTCCTAGTTATAGGGCATCTTCCCCATGTCTCCTGTCCTGGAAGGAAGTGCCAGGCCTCCTGGATAACAAGGGAAGGACACAGCATCCAGATGAGCAGGGACATTATACATGGGTGCATCTGGGCTATAGCAAGCGCTTTCGTACAGCAAGCTTGTGAAGTTGCTATATCAAAAACACATACACAATCAAAATTATCTTTGATGATGCATTTTACAGTTTGTAAATGGTTTTTACATATGTAATCTCACTTCATCCTCACACCAACCCAAGAAAGAACAAGTGTTTTTACTAGACCCATTTTACAAATAGAGAAACTGAGGTCCTGAAACGTTAAGTAACAAACCTAAGGTGTCATGTACCTAAGGTGCTGGGACTAGAAGTCAAAACTTTTGACTCCGAATCCCATAATGGACCAGCTCCGTGTTGGTTGATATTTTTTTATTTCTTTCACTCTTACCAGATCTTCTTTTCTTTCTTTGTAAATTTTAGGTTTTATTATTGAAGTATAGTCCATTGACAATATTATATTAACTTCAGGTGTACAGCATAGTGATTCAGTATTTTTACAGATTATACTCCATTAAAAGTTATCACAAGATAATGGCTATAATTCCCTGTGCTGTACAATACATTCTTGTTGTATATCATAGTAGTTTATGTCATACAAAGTGGCTTGTATCTTACTAGATCTTTCTCTTTTCTCCCTCTTTATTTTTCTTTTACCTATTTCCCCGTCCTTTTCTTTCATTTTGCTCCCTTCCTTGCCATTTCCTTGTTCATTTCCTCTTGCTCCTCTCTGCGCCTTGACTCTGCCAGCAACCTCGGAGCTTATAGCTCAGCCAACCAGATGCTCTCAGATCTGAAGAGTCTGGTGATACATTGTGAAAGACAGAAAGCTTTTCTGTTTCTGAGGTTGTTTCTGCTGCAACAAAAGCATTGCCCCCTGAGAACTAGTTGGGCGAAATGAAAGCACCTGCAGGGTAGAGTGAAATACTTTTCCAAATCCTCCTTTCATGACAAAAAATAAGAATCTCATAGGTCCTTAAGTTCACATGGAAGGGGTTGAACTATGAAAGTATCCCAAAGACGTGGTCTTCCATAAGTCCTTACATCCCTACCCTGAGCCCCAGAAAATAAACCTCTCTCTACCCCCACTCCAGCAAGACACTAGGGCTGTATACAGCAGGACCACTTATAACACTTTGCTAAATCTGGATCAGTTCCCTTGAGACCATATAAATATATATTGGCTGAGCCTTAAAGCAAATGTCCAGGCCTCTATTCCTCTCCCAAGGACCAAGTAAGCTCATCAGTGGGAGTGGTGACTATCTGCAGCAGTTTTGCTCAAAGTATGGTCCCTTACCAGAAGCATTAGCATCATCTGAGAACTTGTTAAAAATGCAAACTCTGGATCCCCAATCCAAATCTAAAGAATTAGAAACCCGGGGAGGGGGGCCCAGCAATCTGTTCATAAGCCCTCCAGATGATTCTAATACTGGTTGATGTTTGGGAACCACTGATCTACGTGCAGTTGTGTGGGGACAACCCTGAACTAGGAACTGGGATATATGGTACTTCTTCCTGGTGAGGCCCCTAACTTATCAAGGAGTGTGGCTACAATATGCACCCTCTCCACACCCCATTTCCTCCCCAATCAAATGACGAGACCTTCCTTGGTGAGCGCCAGGCACTCTTCTCTCATGCATATTCTGTGAGCCTTCATGAAGGTTTGAGGCAGCAGTGGAGCAGGGCTCCCAGCCCAACATCATCAATATGAGATGCTCTGACTCCACTATCATCTTGCCTTCTTAATGTCTTGAAGTCTATTCTCCAAGAATCTTGAGTTAAACTATAGTTGAACTTGGGTGGAGCTGCCTCAGCTCTCATCTGTAATATGGTCCACGTGTCAGCTAAGCTGGGACATAGAACGGGTGGCTCTTGAAGTGACCAGGAGCCAGAAATGAGGGATGGGGCTGACCCCAGCGGGGGCAGGTCAACAAAGACAAACTTCATCCAACTGCCAGTTTCATTGAGGTCTAGCTCCAACTCAGAGTGAAACATGTAAAAAAAATTTGGGGCCAGTTATAAGACTTGCTGCTATCCTCTTCTCTCACTGAAATGAATAGAATGTTTATCTAGAGAGGTCGCTACATGAAAAAAGAAGCTAACAGCCCAGCAGAGTTTGATTTATCAAGAATTTGGTTGTCATTGTGGGTCATTTGGGCTGACGCATTGTTAGACACACTCAGTAAAAGTCAGCCCGAAAAGGGTCCTCTGTGAGACTGCACTTTGACTTCTATCAAGAGGAATGTCCACTTTAGCCTGTCAGCCACCACATATGTATGGAATCCCTACCATGTGCCGGAACTAGGGATGCAGTTAACAAGTTAGAGATAGTCCCTTCTTTCGTAGAGCTAACAGTCCAGCAGGAACTTCACCTAAGTGTAACGAGTGCTAGAAGGAAGTGTTATCAGAGCCAATACAGGGGAACTCCCCTAACACCAGGACCTTGTATTAGCAGAAAGCGGCAATCTACTCAGGGACAAGATGGCCACACTTTTAAACCCTAGCATATCTACAGGATGCAACAGACTCCTATCAATAGCCATGGCTCTCTCAAAGGAGCAGGGGAAGACAGGATCCTCCTCAGAGGGGCACTTCCCACCTCCTCCCCACCTTCCCTTCCCCCAGGGATACCCCAGTGGAGGGGGGCTGGGATAGGCATTGATATGTCAGGATGGGGGTGGGTAGAAGGATGAGTATGAACGTTATAACCTACAGCCTGACTTAAATACTTCACACTATTATTTTTAGCTGTTAACATGGTTATTCCCTATTCCAACATTCACTAAAAGCACAATTTAAAAGGAATACCCTATGAATTAGGTCTTCTTAATGAAATCCAATCATACACAAATTATTGAATTCTTGGTAAGTAAATGTAAGGCTGTGATGGAGCCTGAGGCTGGATATCCAGCTGCCACCTGTCTTGTGTTCATCTCCCCACAACCATCCCATAACAAGGTGTCCAGGAAAAAGGGGCACCAGGTTCAGAACCAGGTACACACTTACTGTTGTCCTCAGCAACACGACGTCTGCTTCTTGCAAGGAACACGGGATGCAATTTGCCCACACGTGCCAAGCGGGTCTCCAGTAAAACACCAAGGGGAGGATCCCAAAGGAGAAGATAGATCCAGCAAGGCAGAGGGTTTTCCGGCAGCTCTGAGTCCGGTAGCCAAATATCTCCTGGGACAGAACCAAAATGACCCCAAACATTGATTAAGCACAACAAACAACAAATGAACAAATTGGAATTTTGGTGATGAAACTGGTGGGAGGGGCAGAGAGTGTAGAAGCTGAGGAAGGGAAGGGGAGGACAGAGTGAGGGGTTGAGGAAGTGAAGGATCGCTGACAAAGATCCTTCCTTAAACATGATCCCAGGCCTCCAAGAAGTTGTAATCTAACTGGGAAATTCAGTTTCTACAATTTCAGCACGTGGCTACCCCATGCCAAACACTATACTACATAGCATATATGACATGCTATAGCATATATGATATGCTATATGGTTTCAGTCTCTCAAGCATCTCCTGAATAGGGTAATATGACCCTCACTCCATAAATGATGAGGCTTAGCTCAGAAAGGCCGAATGTAATGACTTGTCCAAGGCCACACAGCTGGCAAGTTCTGCTGCCCTGATTCAAACCCAGATCTGTCAGCCTTCAGGTCTTGAACTCAACCCACAGACGTGATCATGAGCCATGTGACAGAAGGACTGGGTGACGGCAGCAATGAATGATTCCCTTGGCTGGAACCAGGGAACCACCATGGGCAAGAGGGGCTAGAAAAGGCCTTGAGTTTGGACTCAGGATTTGGTGAAAGTGTTTGACCAAAAGAGGATGAACGACTAAATCCCAGCTTGCCTATGAGGGTTTGCGGTTCAGGGAGCTATGCCTTCCTACCCTCCTCTCTTGTTTAATAACAAAAAGAATTTTACATCAAGGGGAAAACACTGCAGAGACAATTTAGTTTATTTCAACTATTGAGCAGCTGCTATGTGCCATGAGGGTACAGATAACAAAAAGATAAGAGACCGACTTCTAATAAATGTATAATCTGGACAAACTTCTTCCGTCCAAGGAAAGCCTGGGCCAGAATGGAAAACCACACCTGAAGCTTATGGCCTAGGTCCCACAGCCATATCCCACAAAGTCATAGGTGTACTTTATACCGGTTATAATGGCTACAGGTGAGAGGAAGGAGAGGGTCCGAGTTAAAAGCACATTCTCTGGACCAAAACACTTTGAGTTCAAAGTCTAGTGTGCCCCTTACTGGCTGTGACCTTGAACAAGTTAGTTAACCTCTTTATTCCTCAGTTTGTCATCTATAAAATGGGGGTGCTGATAGTACCCCCGTCCCAGGGCTGCTTTGTGTTACTATGTATAAGTGCTATGTAAACATTTACTGCTGCTGCTACTATTTTACTATTTCCCCTAACATAGACCTGAAATTCGACCCCTGGGTTTACTGGCATTTAGAGCTAAGAATTCTTAGTATCAATAGTTCTGCTTTTGTTAGAATTGCCTGTTAGGATAATAAAGGAGCTGGAACATGCATCTTTAAATCCACCGACTTCTCTGTCTCACTTGGTAAAGATATATTATCAGAAAAGTTTCTGTGACCCTTGACGGAAAGCTGCTTTCATGTGTAGTTACTAGGTTCCTTTCTCTTATTAGCAGTGCACGCAGGTGCCAAATGGCTTCCTTAGGTAGTGTCCACATCTGGCATGCCTTTGATAAAATGCTTACCTCACCTCAGAAATACAAGCTCTTGACTCATTTTGCAAAGTAGAATGTCTACCCTGACATAAATATTCTTCTGTCCCACACTCAAGCTGTTGCTCCCCCGATGCCAAGCCTGAGATGCTCTGTCCCCTCATCACTCCAGAAACAATGCTTTGTTGGTTTCATACCAAGCCGGGTCCCAATTCTAAATTCCAGACACCTGTCTGAGTCCATCCCACTGTCTTTTCCCACATGCTTTTATTATATTCCTACACTTTGGAACAGATCAACTTCTACCTGCCCTCCCCATCTGGCCATTTTTTCATCCTTTTAAAATATTATATTTAAAAGGCTGCTTTTCTTGCCATTCAATCTAGATCCTCGTATAATATACCGAAGTTATGCCAGTTCCATAAGCACAAACCTCCCTGTCAATGTGCATTCTTTTACAGGCTATGCAATGAGAGCTCTGTGTAGTTTCCAAAGTGTCTTCATGTTCATTATCAAAGTAAAGCAGGAA